GTCACATGACCCGGACACCATCAAAACATAACCGGCACACCGCCAAAACATGACCAGGACACCATCACAACAGGACCGGGTCACAACACGACCGGGACACCATCAAAACATGACCGGGACACCATCACAACATGCGTCCGGATCATGTGATGCTGGTGTCCCGGTCATGTTTTGATGGTGTCCCGATCATGTTTTGATTGTGACCCAGTCATGTTGTGATGGTGTCCCGGTCCTGTTTTGATGGTGTCAGTCATGTTGTGATGGTGTCCCGGTCATGTTTTGAAGGTGTCCCGGTCATGTTGTGATGGTGTGCCGGTCATGTTGTGATGGTGTCCCGGTCATGTTTTGATGGTGTCCCGATTATGTGATGGTGGCGCGGTCATGTTGTGGTGGTGTCCCGATCATGTTTTTGATTGTGTCCCAGTGATGTTGTGCTGGTGTCCTAGTCATGTTATGCTGGTGTCCCGGTCCTGTTTTGATGGTGTCCCCTTGGAGGAATGCCATACTGACGTCGGCTGTCCAGCGTTTCCAGCCAGAAACTTGGCTGATAGCCAGCAACACTTGTCGAGAGGTCCTTGCCAAAGTCGGGAATGAAGTGTCCAGAGCGCCATTCAGCAAGTCGGGGTCAGAGAACCCTTGCGAAACCAAACGGGCCTTGGCCTTGAGGCCGCCCTTGCCATCAGCTGCCTCACTTCAAGCTTGTTGGTGAGGTCGCCGATGTAGTGAAGACCATAGTGCTTTGCACCTGCCTGTGTGAAAGGGTACAGGGTTTTGCCAGTCCATGCATCAGCAAAGCACTGCTGCTCAGTGGAGTTGACATAGATGGTGCGAGTTCCCTTCTGGATAGATAGACTGGTGGTTGTCTGCAGAAAGTCAATAGTGACCGGAAACTCTTCAGGATGGTATGTGCTTGTTCTGCTCCGAAGCGGGCCGTTGTTATCCATCAGGTTGTCCGGGTTGAGCTTCGGTGTCCGTGGGAAATATGACCGGAACACCATCCGCCTATTAGCTCTGACGGTGACCCGACGGCGCTCGTCCGCCTATGAGTTTTGCAAGACCCCATAGCATGGCTATTGGAGAAAAAGAAATTTCATTGCTCCCTCATATTGGGTCAATTATATGCGCCTGTGATCGCAAAGTATTAGCAAGATGGCTTAGTAGAGCCCATTCTGGAAAAATGGGAGATTTTATGGATAAAAAGGCATTCTTTTATTCTGGGATTAGGATGAAGGAAAAGACCTTGAAACGGCATATTTCGTCTGGAAATAAGAATGTAAACATAGATTTATTCGTGCTTCTATATTTTCTTTCCCTAGTTTTATCCGTATTTACGCACTTTAAAATCCGCGATTTCTACTTCTAAATATTTATGGTCTAAAAATGGTATTTAAATTGGCGAATTAATTCTTGAACATTTTATATATATATATATAATTTATATTAATTTGGCTCTAAAATACGTTATAATGAGGTAAAGTATTTTTTAGAAATGCCATTCCGTATTTTATGTTAACGGCTTTGTGGAATTGCATCGGTTCGGTAATGATATAAGTATAATATTTGTTATTCGATTATTTTTTTTTGTCGTTTAAATTTGGTTATATTGGTGTTTATATTAATTATAAGAGTTGAATATATTCTATTGAATTATTTATTAATATGAAAATACGGATGTAGGAATACGTAGTGGAATTGCGACCGTACGAAGTGTCGAAATGGAAATGAAATAGCATGTTTGTCTATTTTGCATATGTGAAGCACGTAAGATTTTAAGGAACTCTTCTCGGGCATAGGGAAGAGTTTTAGCCTTGAGCGGGTCGTAAATCGCCTTGGCGTCGATTATTAGTGACGAGCATGGTTGGTGAAAATTCGTCTATTTATCGAAATTGGAAGTCGCGTCGGATGTAACCCTCCTAGAAGATTAACAGATACTCTAGGCGTCTATGGCGACCGAATATGCTTGGCTCTAGCATTGAGTGCACTCTTGGCAACTTGAAACCTCTCTAGTCCAGGACGATGTAGTTCTGTATGGAGCCGTCTTTTAGGATCTGCTGGTTGTAGAGGCAGATTACATAGTTACCCTGGGATTCGCTGTTTCGACGAACTACTTAGACTGCATCGCTCATGGCCACCATGCATAGTTTCTCCATGTCCTTTCTAAGATTTCAAAAGATTAGGGCAGTGTCGCTGTTGTTCTTGGTAAAACGGAGGAGTTTGTTGGCTTGAGCTGCAGTGTCACCTGTGGCGGCTGTGGCTTCGCCGCACAACAAAGATACCGAAGCACTCAAATGAGGTGAGGTCTGAGTGGCAGGCCATTGAAGTGCTCCCAGAAGGGCTTTGAGGCAACTTTATTCCTAGGGAACGGTTGGCATCATAATCATTGCATATCATGGACTTGACCTTCTTGAAGTCGTCGCTATGGTGCAACTTGCACTCAGTGTTGTCTCGGCTCAGGTGGCAGCCGCAGAGCTTGAAGTTAAAGGGTTCCTCAAGCTTGGACTTGAGGTGCTCGTACTCAGGAGCGCCGATTTTACCAGAGCCCAAAAGGTCGTTGACGTGGAGCCCTACAATGGAGATCAGGTTCTTATCGGAGTTGTGCTAGGTGAAGAGGCACTGATCCAATGGGTGAGCTCGATATCCAAGGTTTTCAAATCGCCTTCCTGGCCACAATAAACCATTGCCTTGGGGCGTCGCTTACCTCAGGGTCAAC